GCATTGTAACCCACCACCATGCATTTTCCCGCAAACCAAATGAAGACAGCGCTGCAGTGTGAAGAGGACATATAGAAAATAATTGATTTCTATGGGCTAGGGTTGCCACCTGTCCAGGATTCACCCGGACAGTCCGGGTTTTGAATGCTGTGTTCGGGTTTCATGGCAGCAGAAACCCGGACACATGATGTCAGGCAGACAGGGGCAACCAAAATTAAGATTGGAGCTACTGGCCCCCCACTAAAAATAGTCTCACCTGTGATCTTTACATATGAATGGGTGACGATATTTACATATGAATAAGCCGCGACTCATTCTCCCAAAAAAAGTTCCGCACGTCGCTAGAGTGTTCGTGTTTCACTGGAAGAAAAGGTGGCAACCCTAGGGCCCTTGTGATGACTGGCATTGATCAACGGCAGTAATATGCACATAGTGTGGACGGGCCTTTACTATGTGCCGCAGCAATGCATCTGAATGCGCTACAAAGATCTGCGATCTGAATGCGCTACAAAGCAACATTGGTTGGAAAATGTGTATGGCCAGCATAGTTAGTAAAACAATGCAAACATCTCACGTTGATCTATTGCTTTCAGATTTCAGAGCAAATCCAAACATCTAATCCCTGAAAGTTTGCTATGGGTCACTACCCATCATAACTCATGGCCACATAATACCTTTACAACTGCAAAGTCCACATAGCACTGATAACACTAATGAATACCATCAGACATACAATGCTATAAGTTCACTCCAATTATGGTCATAACCATGCTCCCACAACACATTTCCAGTACTAAATATGGCGAACTACGGTACATCGGACGGTCAAAAACAGTACGAGCGCTTCAACGGAAGCACATTGCAATAAGCCGACCTTCCACGCCTCACCCCTCCTTTGCGTGGGCTGTGCCGTGATTGGCGGAAAGGTGTGTCGATCTATGTAAGCGGGCTTGTGATTGGCTGAGGACTGCAACCAGCTGTAGATTGCTGGTGAGGCCAGCAAGGCTGGGAGAGTTCAGCGGGTAAGTGTGTGTTTACATTGCGGTGTCAGTGCTGGAAGTGCCCCGGTGGATGATGGAGGTTAGGGATAAAACTTAATATACCTCCAGTGTAGCAGAGAATGGCTTTGTGTATTTTTATTCAAAGTGACAGTCAGTAGGCTAAAAAATGCAAAAGGAGAAGGTTGGGGCACATTCTAATGGGGTGTGTTGACAAGACAGAGGAAACCTTTATTTTCTATGAGCCCTGGTTACAGCATATATCAGCGGTGTTGTGTATTGCATAAAAATGCAGCATGATGTGCAACAATGCACTACAGCGCTTCACAACTCATAGAGTAGAATGAAATGTCACTTTGGGATGTTTCGATAAAGTTTTAAAAAGGAAAACATGCGAACAACACACCGCCCTTCAGTGCGTAGCGCACACCCGCTGGTGTGAATAGGCCTTTATGCTTACCTGTCCCACCATCCAGTCTTTGCACTGTAGCTCCTCCTGAACAATTTGATTTCCCTTCTGGTGACAACAGTTTTTTGATTTCCCTCTTTTTCAGTCCCTGTGTCACCAAGATAAATAGAGAGAGCGGCTTTTCCCTGTGGGGACACAAAGAACAATACAAACCTGACAGTATGTTCTGACCCCTCGCCAATCTATCCAAAGCTTTTGAATAACTTTAATCGCAGTTTCAACATTTTAATGATCTGCCCCACCTGTGTGTCCCAACTTATTCTTGTGTCTAACAGCATCCATAACTTGTTCCGTCTGTCCCCCCCCATTAAGTCTCAGTATTTGCCCATCTAAAGGGTGACCACAGCAAAAACCCCTCGGGTTGAACGAAGAATATATTACAGACTCCTCCATCAATGCTTAAGAGTATTCAAGGAATGTACCGCTGTCTTCATTGTATTCTGACGGCAGCTGCCGTTAGAATACCCAAACAGAGCCGGCAGCTGATTGGCTACCAGCTCTGTTCGTACAAAGGTTTTCCGACCAGCTCCTTTCATCAGCTGACCGAGGGATGCCGGCTGCAAGGGTGCCGACAGCGGTATCCACTGTGCAAATTTCAGCCGGTTTATAAAGAACCAGCCGAATTTCGCACAGTGTATGGGCAGCATTAAGGTGGCCATACACTGTACAACCATCGCAAGACCTTAGTCTTGCGATGGTTGTAAAGTGATTGAAAAAACGTACGATCTGCCTATCTTGGACAGGCAGATCGCACTCTCGATCATCGCAAGCCTTAAGATGACTGCAAACGGGCTGTGTGTGCGTGGGCACACCGGCCCGTTCGGCAGTTGTCGAACCAGCAGGCCACTAACTCGCCGAGAATCGTACGATTCCCGGCGGGTTTTCTAGCATGCTGGTTTGACGGAAGACGTGCGACCGTACAGTAGAAACGGTCGCACGCCTTCCATACACTGCACGATTCTCGTACGATCGCGGGATTTCCTGCGATTCTCGTACGAGAATCGTGCAGTGTATGGGCACCTTTAGCCTCTTCATCTCTCCCAGTCTTTGGTTGGACGATGAAGGAGCAGAAACCTACTGATGAGTCCGTCCCTGTCCTCTTTCCTTCTGTAAGTATGTTCACTGTGTTAGACTTACAACAGTGCACAAAGCAGTAAAGCCCTGAATTGGCTTAAGTGCTGGTCTTCCCTCTCCCAGTCTGAGTGCTTCTGTGCTGATGAGGCTGATTGTAAGCTCTCACCGGCAGAGCCGTCTTGATTGCGGGCTCTATATAAATCCTGTATAATGATAATGAGACCAAAATCAGGACAGAATCAAGTACTTAAAGCCGACCTTCACCCAGATCTTTGAAATGACAACAAGCGCACCTTTAGAAACATTTAGTAATGACAATCTACAAGCACATACTTCTAGATCATTGCCCCTGCACCTTCTTTCTCTTTTCCTCCCCATTCTTCTCCCAGTGGCCATTTTTACTAAGGCCAGATGAATCTATCTCCCTTTACTTCCTGGAACTCTGGCACATGTGACTAGGACATTAACTTTTCTAAAAGCCACCCAGTCTCCTTACCTTACAAGAACTGGAGAGGATCCTCAGCCTGGGGCCCAGTGTGGGCTGCTGTGCTGTGATGGAGCTCTATCCATATGTGCATTGCTGGCACAGATCCCTTCCGCACCTGTAGAGGTGACAGGAACCAGAATGTGACTTCACTCCGGTCCAAATAGTTAAGTATATCACCATCACACCAAAGTAAAAAAATTTTTTACGAGTGGTAATGTTATTGATGTACCCACATCTCGTCATAGCAATGTTTCGGGGCCACTCGGGGTCCCTTCATCAGGCATGACCTGATAAAGGGACCCTGAGTGGCCCCGAAACGTTGCTGTATGACGAGATGTGGGTACATCAATAAAATTTTACTTTGTTGTGCTGGTGATATACTTAACTATTTGAATTTGAAGCGGTGCCATCCACTATCACTGCAGCACCCATTTTAAAGGGACATACCAGTATGGAGTGCGGTGGAAACCTGTTTTCACTCCGGTCCAGGCACCTACAGGACACTCAAGGGAGCTGTAAGCAATACACGTATGGATGGAGCTCCCTCCGCGGCCATTCCCCCACCCTAAGCTGACACTCGGCACCAGGCAGCATATTTTGAATGGCTTCTTGGCATGAGAACTGACAGTGCTGCGCAAGGGGGAGGCTAAGGAGCCTCTCGCCTAGAAAAGTGGAAGGCACGCGGCGACCCACTTTTGGGTCACGACCCACCAGTTGAGAACCAAGGATCTGGATGATGGTGGACATCCTGCAGCCAGGAAATGAGGCGGGCTGTATCTGACTTGAGCTGCAGCTTCTAATGCTCACAGTGTGCAGCAAAATCAGAGTAAGCCATTTAATTCCAGGATAGGAGACGGTACAACTGTGTAAGACTGATGGGAAGGCCGGAGTTCAGCTTTAAATGGTGTACTTTTTTTTCAACGGTTTGGTTGGAGTTCTGCTTTAATTTTAGGGAAGGAGAAGACATAAGTTGCATCTATCTGGACGTTTTCTAATGCACTGCACCAACAACACATATAAATGGGCAGATGGGAACAGGCCTCTCAGTCTCTACTGCATTGTACAGTGCTTTTCATCTAACGCTGGCAGCTTCCTGACAAGAGGACGGTGCAGAGTGATGACCTCATCTGCCTGTTCCTGCTCCTTTATTGCCCAGAGGTCAGGGTGTGTCTCAGACTAGGCCGCCTATGCAGCTGCTGTGTTGTCTGCAGAGACGTTTTGGGGGGGTTCTATAGTTCTGGTTGGTCTTCTTATGCCTGATGAAGGGACCCTGCATGCCCCCCAATCGTCACTATGGACAAGATGAGTCTATGCTAATAAAATAGACCTAATTTTAAACATTTAACCACTGGTGTGCTGGTGACCAACTCCTTTTGCTTCAAGAACGGCGGCACCATCCGCAGTCACTGCAGCACCCACCCTCTTGGGACATACCAGTAAGGAGTGCGGAGGGAACTTTGTTGAGGTTCTATAGTCCTAACACACTTCCTGTCCCTAGGTGCCAGTGTTACTCCTTCACAGAGACAGGGGTGAGCGTTGTCACCTTAGGGCAGGAAGTGTGTGACATGCAGGATCAACAGGTGAAAAAAAAACGAATGCAGCCATCATGTCTGAGGACTGTTAAGCTACAACACAATGGCTTAGGGGTTAGCGCTTCTGCCTTGCAGCATTGACGTCCCTGGCTCAAATCCTGGCCAGGTCACTATCTACAAGGTTCGCCCTGTGCGGGTTTCCTCCGGCTACTCCGGTTTTCTCCTACACTCCAAAGACATGCTGGTAGGTTCATTGGCTCCTGTCTAAATTGGCCCTGTATGTATGCATATGAGATGGGGCCCCTGACTGTAAGCTCCTCGAGGGCAGGGATTGATGTGAATGTGCACTGTGTAAATGATCAGATCTCTATAAATACCTGTAATAAATAAATAGACACAGTTTCCGTTTTCTAACGTCTTTTGTTCTTCTCTCCACCAGGTGGTGCTGTTGCTTTTCAGCACTATGTCCCTAAACCCATCCTTTGATTTCCCAGGTAGGTCTGCTGAACTAGGATGTGTGGCTACAGTTTATTTGTTATTGTACAGTATTGTGTAAAGGTTTCTCGCACAAAAGCCCACAATCATTGACATGAGTCCACATTATCATAACAGCCTCTGTCACGCTTATTCAATAAAGGGAGGAATGAGGGATGATGGTTTGCAAAATGCAGTAAAGCATCCAGATATGCTTTCAGTGTCCCTCAATCAGATCTAGATTAAATGAATAACATGGATTATCTGGTTACAATGGCACCTGGAAGTGGGTGGGACATATTAGGCAACAAGTGAGCATTGTGTCCCTGAAGTTGATGTGTTGGAGTAAAAAATAAATAAATAAAAATGGGCAAACTTAAAGTAGTATTAAGTTCCGGGCATTTTTTAACCTTAATGCATTCTCTCCCCCAGTCTCCCCCACACTTACCTGTCAGCAATGCTTGACCCCGCCGCCGGTCCTGAAGCTATCCTCTGTTCCCCGAACTTCTTATGGTTGGAGAGGAGGGGCGTGGCCTGCCACAGGGCTATGTTTGTCTATGGACACACACAGCCACTGCGGGTACGAGTGTGCACGGGTGCCTCCATTAGCCGATGGAAGCACCCGTGCATGGGGCGGGGGGAAAAGCGCTGCAGGGGCCCACTTGAAAATGTAACATTTTAAAGAAAAACAACAACATCCTCAGACAAAGGTGGGCCTCCTTGTAGCAAATATTACAAAAAAAAGGAAGCTTCAATATCACTTTAAGGATTTGAGTGACTTTGACAAGGGCCAATGTGGGATGTTCCCGGTCTGCATTGGTCAGGACCTACCAAAAATGGTTCAAGGAAGAAAAAACGGTGAACTGGTGAAAGGGTCATCAGTGGCCAAGGCTCACTGATGCATGCGGGAAGCGAAGGCTTGCCCATGTAGTCCAATCCAATAGAAGAGCCACTGTAGCTGAAAAAGTCAGAGCATTGGATCTGGCTGTCATCGAGTTGGCTAATTTTGTTCGAAAGCCCCTAATTTCATCCATACCATGTGAATGGAATCCCAGATGTATTAAACAGGTTTCTATTGTGACTAGCATGAAATTACATTCACGGCCAGAATTTAATTTGTTCAGATAAGAAACAGTCCGCTCCTTCGATGTTCCTTGTGACTGCCGTAGAAAACAAATGCCCAATTAGACCCCACTAACCATTAGAAAATCAATCAAGCGTTCTGAATACCAAAACTTTCCAACACAATTCTACTGGTTTATGACTGGCTTTGGTGCTTTCACAGGCCAACAAAGTGGTAGGGGATTGCAGAGAAGGTATTATTGGGTCGGTGGTTGGGGATTGCAGAGAAGGTATCATTGGGTCGGTGGTTGGGGATTGCAGAGAAGGTATCATTGGGTCGGTGGTTGGGGATTGCAGAGAAGGTAAGTATCATTGGGTCGGTGGCTGGGAATTGCAGAGAAGGTAAGTATCATTGGGTCGGTGGTTGGGAATTGCAGAGAAGGTAAGTATCATTGGGTAGGTGGTGGGGGATTGCAGAGAAGGTAAGTATCGTTGGTTAAGTGTTGGGGGATTGCAGAGAAGGTAAGTATCATTGGGTAGGAGGTGCCCAATCAGGAGAACTTGTCACTTTGCCTTGTGATTAAAGATCCTTACTTGAGGGTGTGGTGGGGTAGGAGCACTCCAGAGAAGATATTAAAAGGCCCACAGATGCCCCCACCTGCTACCCACTCTGTCCTAGAAGTACTTCAGGAGGGTGTTGTTTCTTGGTGGTCTGTGCACCTATGTCACACTACATATCCACAGCCAAGAGTTATTGCCGGTGAGGCAGTAAGCTTGCACAGAATGTGGGTTCTGATTGGGTGGATTATCAGGTTGTAGGCTTCAAAAGGGGCATAAGCCTTCCAGCAGCTTAGAGTAGCCACAAGGTCCATAATCATTCAACAAGCCAGTAGGAAACTGGGGAGATGCTTGTTGTGTAATGTCTTCTATGGGTTTGTGGGCTAGCTAGGTGCCATTTTCATTAAAAAAAATAATTCACATCTCCATAATTTATTATTTTTCCTTACCAGCCATCTGTTTTTTTTTGGGATAAATGGACAATCCACAAGTCAGAATTGTTTGGGAGATATTGAGAGGAAAGGTATGAGAGTTGCCGTAAGAGACTGGCAGGTTTCTACAAGAAGCAATTGATTAAATCTTGCCCAGGACAGATAGGGAAGGATTTGATAGCGATAGGCTTGTCAGAGATTATGGGCTGGCTTAAAGTGCCCCTGGCACTAACATGTTATTTTCCTGGCTGCGGCTTTAATACTGATCCAGAATAAGTGTAAACAGAAGAGTATCTGACTTTTCTCTGACTTTATTTTGCTGTATGTTTGTTCTGGGTTTGTGATTCGCAAGTACGGATTCCAGAAATCGGGAAGCTTCCATTTTTTTTTAAAGAAAGCGAGCAGTGTGAGCCTTCATAGTTCATAGGTGTACTCTAAAGCCCATCTCCCTGCAAAATGTATCCCTATTGTTTCCCCTAATCATCCAGTCGGCTTTTTAAAAAAAACAAAACTTAATAATCTCTCTTATACTCATGCCTGGGCCGCTTCCGTGAGTCACGACTATTCGATCCAGCGCTGCAATAGTCCGGTTGTCACTAGATGTCATTAGCACTGCGGTCTTTAGAGGATCTCGCCAATAGGAAGTGTCCCAAGCAGAGAAGTGGACACCTCCTAGAAGGATTCTGCTTCAGGGAAGAAGATAGAAGACTTTGAACCTGGCACATCATGTGACCACAGATATAGGTAAGTATTGGTGGCATTAAGAGTAGGGTTTGTTTTTCTTTAACCTTGCACTTAGTTATGAAATAAGCCGGCACTCAAATCTTCCCCACACTTCAACTTGTGGGCGGTCGCTTGGCATCCTGATTTCCAATGCAGGACTAATGGCCCTGCATTGTACTTGATGATGTCAGAGGACCAGTGATGGTTGGAGTATAAGAGTCTGCAGGAGCCTGCCTTGCAATGTGAAGGAGCAAAAACTATTATACCCTTGCTTTAAATAAGCCCCACTGCAAGGGGAGTTTTGTGTTTTAAAGGCTTTAAAGTAAACCTGCCCTTAGAGGAACGTAGAGGCTGCCACTGCTGACCTCCTAATGAAAAGTCTACTTGCTTGGCTGTTGTGCTCATCCTCTGGCCTTAATTTTTCGTAATAATTGTCACAGAATAAACATGCAGACAAGACAAGTCCGATGAAGTCGGCATTTCTGATCTGTATACAGAAATGATTAAAGCTTTTATTAGAATGACAGACGGGTAACTAGCATTTTCAATATGAGAAGTCGTTAATGGCAGCTCGCATATTTCTGACTTGGTTTTAAATATACAGGATGTCTTCTGATCCTGGTTAGCCACCAAGCGAGTCCCTGACTTGGAGGAAACATGCCACGACCAAGATAATAGCCATAAAGACTGCACCTTTAAACACAAGTCATCAATGGGAACTCACATGTTGTATCTTTACAGGTTCACTTTTTAAGCTGTTTTTGTTAGCCCAGCCTGGCATGTAGTCTGTACTCGGCAGCTTTTCCAGAGCCCAGCAACATCCACTGACCAGGGGTGAAGTGAAGTGTGGGAGGATTTCAAGGAGTCTAACTTTTTATTCATAAAAGGGTGAAGGGTTTGGAGAAGGCCGGAGAAGTGAACAATCTAGCTATGTTGTCCTAGATTGATCACTTCTCCTGCCTTCTCCAAACTCTTCACCCTTTTGTGAATAACCCTGTTAATATCGGGTGCTGTAAATGCACAGTGTCTCCCGCCGTTTCATTTGGTATATCTCGGCGGTGACTTGGAATGAATAGATTGTACATACTGATGATGCCATTTCCATGTATCCAGCAGGCCACACTCTCCACTCCCTCCCTGCTTTAACCGACAAAGGTGTCTCCTGTCTTATTCTAGGACACATGGGAACCCAGAAACCCAAGGCGCTCTATTATTCAAATGCCTACTGCCGGAGCCAAAGTCAAACTCAGGCCTGCCCCAATCATTCTTGTTAGTAAGGCCGTCCATCATTGTCATGGACCAGTAGGCTCACCCCGGAACTTGGCTTGAGTTCTCAAATTCAGATTACCAGAGCTGAGCATGAACAATGGTCTAATGGGATTGCAGCGTAACCACGGCAGGTCGGATGATGGTGGCATTGAATGGACTGGTGACTGGATCCCGTGCCCGTAACAGCTGAAGGAGGGTACACTGAGAGGTAATTTGGCAATAATATGCAAGTATGCTGTACCACTAGTATTTAATGGCTAGGGCCGCTTCACCCAGCGGAATTTAGTTCTGCCTCAAAGCTTAACTCCAGCTTGAGATATCCTTTAAAGGCAGCACAGTGGCGAAGTTTACAGGGTTATACACAAAAGGGTGAAGGGTTTGGAGAAGGCAAAAAGATTGTCCTAGTGAACAATCTAGGACAACATATCTGATTTGGAAAAATTCTCCAACTCCGCTCACTTTCCAGTTCAGTTATATTGTCCTAGATTATTCACTTCTCCTTGGTTTCTCTAAACCCTTCACCTTTTTTTTCTGAATAACCCTCTTAGAATTAAAAAGGAGCTGTTTCTGGAATTTTCACTCTATCTCTGGACTTGTCCCCACACAGAGCTGCACTCTGCAGTGCAGCACCCCTCCTCTTCCAGCTTGGTCTCCCAGGAGAATGCTGCAGGAAATGGCACCATGTTATGGTGCAGATAGACACTAGTTGAGCTGCCATTGAACGCCATTGGGATTTGGGTGTGTTGCTGGATCTTGAAGGCATACCTGTTCTTAATTCATTCATTACTATACATGTCCCAAGATGGGAGCTTTGTTAGATTAGAGTTAAGCTGGCCATACACAGTTCATTTCTTCTCATTCAGCTCCGCATGCTGAACAAGGAAAAACTCTTGATTCCCCCTGTCCACGCTAAACGTCATGGATGGGGGATTCTTCCCTGCTGTCTATTGCATTCTGACATCCTGCACTCAAAGCTTTCAGAATACAGGAACAGTGACTGCAACTGATTGGCTGACAATTTTTGGCCCGCCCACTAAACAAAGGTCAATTGAAATATCAACTTTTGTTGATTGGAGTGGTGCTGACAGGGCCACACACAGCTCGAATTTTTACGGAGTCAGCAGGATTCAGCCACAAGCAGGGTATGGCCAGCTATAGGGACCACATTTTACAGAAGGGCCTTTGAGCGGCAGTGTGGTTTCATGTATCTTTGCAAATATATGCAACAAAAACCTCCTTTTTTTTTAAAAGGAGAACTATGAGGTGAGTGCTTTTCACTCACCTCATAGTTCTAGCCGACCTGTGACAATGAGACTGTCACAGGTCGGCTCAGTAGATCGGGAGGTGAGCGAACACATACCGGCGTTCGCTCACCTCTCGATCCTGTCATGGCTCTCTGCCGTGACAGGGGAGGGGCTGGATTCCCCCCGCTCCGATCCGCCAGCGCTGACTGGCGGAACGGACGGGGGAGCGTTATACTGAGACTAGGGTGACGGGAGGACGCTAGTTTGTGTCCTCCCGTTACCCTAAGGAGAACTATGGGGAAAAGCCTTAACCCCATAGTTCTCCTTTTAACACGCATTCTTTAAACAGACCTTGTGCTGACTAGTTGGTAACTGTGCCAGGTATATTATTTTTATTATATTATGAACCCTTCCCATGTGCACCTTACTAGGTATAGGATGATCCGATCGAGTGGTTGCCATTTTTACTTGGGAACTTACTAACACTTTGGGTTCCTATGCCTGGTCATTGGTGAGATGATCTTGCAGTGTTTGTAGATTCCCTAAAAGCGCAATCAATTTGTATTCTTTTTTTTGGTGACGGTTTGCATTTTGCAATCAGCTTAACGTTCCCAGATTTGCGCATTTCTCTGCATTTAATATGTTACATGTCAGGTCAGTGCATGTGCCTTCTTATGCTAACATTGTATGTCATAAGTGCTAAAATTCCTAAAGGGGGCAAAGTTAGCGGCGTGGAGAACACAGCGTCCCTCTTGTAATCTAGCTGACAGTTTCCAGCTGCTGTGCGTTAGCCTATAGCTCCAAGTCCTGTCATGTTGTTCCGTACTACCAGAACTAGCACTTTACATCTGGTTCCCCTGGCAACAAACTGGTTAATCTCCCCTAATATTTGCTGTGTGTCAGAATTTGGCAGCACAGTCTGTTTGGCTAGGAGGGAGCCCGAGCTGATCTCGCCCCCCACTCCTCCTTCTGATGGCTACTGAATATTTCATCCCATCCGAGCAGGAATTAATGGAAGGAGATGCTCTCTGCTCTTCATCCATTAAAAGCAGCCCTGGGAGGCATCGCCTTGGCCCGTCTCATGTGCCTTCTGAGTGCCAGAGGCAGGGGAGCCTCCCCGAGGGGGAGAGGAGGGAGAACAGAGTACCTCAGTCAGTCCTCAAATGCGGCAGAAAGAGTGCAGAGAAATGGGAGCGTAAGGCTATGCTTGTATCACTGTCTGCCAGGACACGGATAACCATGCTCCCTGCCCAATGTGCCCTTTTCCATGACCTTCGTTATCCTATCCAGTATCATTTTTTCTTACATATAAAAAAAAACTGCACGTCAGAGGTTTAAAGAAAACCAGTCACATGGTTTAAAGAAAACCATCCACAAAGCCTAAACAAGAGTTTGAATATTCATTGTTAACCACTTCAAGACCACCGTGTTACACCCCCTTCATTACCAGGCCATTTTTCAGGTTTCAGTGCTGTGATAGTTTAAGTGAGAATGCTATCATTTTTTGAGACTGAGTTGTCATTGAACTTTTTTTTTACTATATAAAGGAAAAATTACTAATAAAATTGAACAAAAACTTGCCTTACTTTCCAATTTCAAAAATAGCAAATAATAATGCCAGGACAGTGCAAAAAAACCCAAAATGACCCCTTTTTGGAAATGCTGAAGCCTGATGAAGGGCCCAGTGAGGCCCCAAAAGCGCTTGTATCCATTCTGACAACTTGAGCATTTGGTGATTCGAAAAAGATCTTCGGTGTGCTGGTGACATCTTTCACATTTATCTTTTTGGAAAGTAGACACCCCAAGGTGATCTCACTTTTTTGCCACAATGTTTTGGAAATGAAGAAACTGGCTGGGGTTGAGGGAGTAAGAACTTGGAAATGGTGTACTAGATACATTAAATGTACAGGTGGTGGAGTTCAAGGGGTTAATGTGCAGGTCACATACAGTGGCAGAAAGGAAATGAAGGGGGTAATGTACAGAGGTGCAGGAGATGAAGGGGTTAATATACAGCTCAGAGCAGGGGTAGAATGGAGCTGACATACACAGGAGGGGGGTTAAAAGTGATTACATTTATTATTTGTTGCTGCTAAAGTTTGGTTTTTTTCCTCAGGAACTAATGATAGAATGATTCATGAATTCATTAGTTCCCAATCTCAGAAATCACAGGGCCAGTCTGAACAGCTCTGTGCCTGTAGCCGATGCTCTCCGCTGTCTCATAACAGCAGACACAGTGGCTTGTGCGCATGATGGGTGCACTGGGTGTCCTTGTGCGCCGACATACAAGTACGTCCTCCTGGAACAAGTGCTCCATATACCGGCTGTTTATTTACAGTGGCCGGTAGAGAAGTAGTTAAAGCAAATCTTTCCATGTACAAAGTAAACTTGCAACAGGGTGTGAAGCAGACATCTTTTTGTGCCTAGGGGTACCACTCACTATCTTCATGAGCACCACAGAACCCTCCAAATTCAGGGTCCTGTAATATGCAAATACCAACTTGAAAAACGAATGGATGGCCCGCCATTATATTTATTAGTCATGCGATCAATCAATGGGTAACATTTTTTTTATATTGTTCATATTTTTCCTTTTCTTTTATATTCCAGGTATTAGAAAAATGATAGAGGTGCATAGAAAGTACTCTCTGTCTGAGAGGTTAATTCGAACAATCTCCTCCGTACGCTCTTTGCCCGGTGACACTGTGGAATCTCTAATCCGCAAGGTAATTAGAAAGCGGTAGACTTGTTCAAGTAACCTGCCATTGCTGGCCTCCTTCAAATGCTAGCTGCCTGGCTGTCTCTGAATCAAGCATTCAGCAAGGACAGTTAGCGTTCCCGATCTGCATTATTCTCTTCAACTTCAAGCAGTTCACGCTGATCATCTTTCAATTTGGAAACCATCACCATTAATTGATCAAATCAGGGGCTCGTGAGTGAAAGTCCAAAAGTGGCCATCACCAGTCCAGTGACCTAATCACTAAAATAAAACTACAGTGAAGAGCTCCCTGCAAAGGAGACATTTAGGCCTCATGCACACACAACGCAAGAGCAAAATTGTATATAGCGTATATGCCTGCACTGTATGCAATCCCAGAATGCATCATTCTAAATAGAAATTTTAATGTACTGTGTACGAGTAAAATATGCAGAAATTCCGAGCCCGGATGCAACTTGGTTAAATATATATATACAGGGCTCGAAAAATCCACTCGTCCACTCGTCTGTGACGAGTGGACGGTGGAGCCCGACGAGCAGCTTCCTGGCCGGCCGTTGTAATTACACGGCCGGCCGGGAGCTTAACACAGTCAAGCGATCGAGCGTCTCTATAGACGCTCGATCGCTTGTATCACCAGCTATATATATATATATAATTTTTTTTATATGCATCTTTACACAGTGCAAATAAAGGGCTCCATACGCATCTATGTGTATGGAGCCATTTATTTGCATATGGGAAAATATGCTGCGCGTATCTTACGCAGTGTATTATACGGCAGTGTGAATGAGGCCTACATATTCACTTCGCCCACGCCACTCTTCTCTGCAGTAGTGAAGAGAAACCACCGGCTAAAAATGCTGCACAATCTGACACTTCCAGGAGTGTCAGTTTTTATAGACCATACTAGTTTGATCCGCCAGCATCAGCGCCACCACTGTGTCCTGTGCGGGCCAGCAAAGGGAGCCATAACATGCAGCAGGGGACCTGGAAATCGACACTCCCAGAAGTGTCAGATTCTGCAGGATCCTCGGCCAGCCATTCCTCTACTTCTAAGATCGGCAACATGGTATGGTTCCATATAAACTCCATGTACACCACTGGTAGCTCTTGCCTATGTGATTTGATCACTTGTTTTAAACTGCAAGCTTTTGTCAAGAAATACTTTGCTAGAAGAAGCATTCCTCTGTATACCTCCACCAGTGCAATAACTTTCCAAAATGCTCTTTTGACTAAATTGTCCCAAATTCCCGCAGATACACTTCAAAAGCTGCTCCAGAGATGAGAAGGAAAATTTAGACCTGGCCTTCATTGGGCCTACAGTGTCGAGGCAAAGACCAGCAATGCATGGACATGATCACCATCCTGTGAAAAGTGAACCTGTAATCCCCACCATGCAGCATTTTGTTTTTCCCTCGCAAGCAGAACATGAAGCACTTGAATGGGAGAAGGTTTTCAGAAGATCTAGGTCAAGTTGTAGTACATTTCTGCTGCAGGCCAGTTTAGGAACATGGCTTGGTTTTTACTGTGCATGCAAAATGTGCAGGAAAGATTGCTCGGTGCTCATGTTTGGAAAAAATATAAATTACAATATGTCCTTCGCACAAGGCTGCGGTCTCTAAGCAATCTCTTGAAGCAATCCGTAATTTGAAAGTTGCACAGACACTATATGATCAAATGTTTGTGGACACCTGACCATCATATCTATATCTAAAATATTCCAGATCAAAACTGTGGACAATAATGTGCTGTGGCCCACCTTGTGGCTGTAAGAGCAGTCAGTCTTCTAGGAAGGCTTTTCACAAGCTCTTGGAGTGTATCTGCGGGAATTTGTGACCAATGTAGTCAAAAGAGCATTTGGGAAAGTCAGGTACTGATGTTGGATGAGAAGACCTGGCTTGCAGTCACAGTTCCAATTCATCCCAAAGGTGTTTAGTAGAGTTGAGGTGAGGGCTCTGACCAGACCCATTGTGTTCCTCAAACCAAACCATGTCTTTATAGAGCTAGCTTTCTTCACATGCAACACCTTGTAACGTCAGTCTGGGGCAGCTCTCATGTAGGTACAACAGCCAATTTTCAGTTACAGCATATTTTTTTTTTTTTTTTTAATCACAAATGACAGCTAAACAACTAAATTGACTGGAAATAATTTCTCTATGTAGTTTCACCCTTTCCATCTACACAGCAGACCTGACGGGGAAACTTCTAGTTCTAACCTTATAAACCTGACCACTCTTCAAAAAGTTACTACCTCATCAGCGGTAGTAGTTATGGATTTGATGGGCAACGGACCTGTTAGTACAGAGATGCCTATAAGGCTGCACATCATCAAAACTCATGTGGCCAAGCAAAAGAGGAGGATTGAAATGGTGGTGGGAGAGGGGGGGTAGATGACCAGTACCAATAGCTGCATCCAACTGTTGAACCTTAAAGCACTATCACCCATACTGACAAAGGTAAAACAGCATGAGAGAGATAATAGCAAAAATAAATAAATAGGTAGTTTAAAACAGTAATTACAACAAATTTTTTTTTTTTTTTTAATCACCAAGTCATGTATGGTTACTACATCTTCTGGTATCTTGTTTAGAGTTGACTCTTCGGGTGCTCAGTACTGATATCCTGTCTATCTTTCTCTCTCACAGGGAGCGGATGTGAACATTCCTCATGACACACTTTTGCCACTACATAGCGCCTGTATGGTGTGTGACGTGGACTGCGTGGAGCTGCTCTTGGAGAATGGAGCCAATGTCAGTACAACCAATCATTTTCTTTATTAAAACTGTTATACAAATTATGCCATATAAGCTAAATATTGCTCTAGTCACATCTTACGGTGCTGCAACTGGCCGCCGAGGCGCACTGCAGGTCTGAGGAAGCATGGAGCTGGCTAATCAGGAAGCCGGGCAGCGTGTCATTACACACACACACAGTAAAACAGTAAAAAGTTTTCCTGGCACACTCACCAGCCAGCATGTAAAAAAACTTGTCTCAACGCTAAGGTTAAAAACAGAGGTTTGAATACACGTCTTCTGCAGAAAATGTGAAAGCCGCACAGCCGCGCCAAGGCACCTCTTATAGTGCGGTCCTAACTGTAAACTATCAGAGTCTCCATCTTGGAGCTTCTGCCCCATGTGCTCCAAGATGGAGACTCTGATAGTTTAGAGTTAGGACCGCACTATAAGAGGTGCCTTGGCGCGGCTGTGCGGCTTTCACATTTTCTGCAGAAGACGTGTATCTAAACCTCTGTTTTTAACCTTAGTGTGAGACGAGTTTTTTTTACATGCTAGCTTGTGAGTGTGCCAGGAAAACTTTTTACTGTTTAAAGCCCATTCCGTGTGCACCTTGCTGTAAAGCTGGTGACGAATTGGTGAGTGCGTTTGTCATCTGCTTTGCATTACACACACACACACACCCCAGCTTTCTGGTTGGCCACAAAGCCAGCTTCATCCTCCCTCATCACCTGGTGACAAGGGAGCATGGAGCCGGCCAATCAGGAAACCGGGCGCCGTGTAATGATGCGTGCCTGGCTTCCTGATTGGCCAGCTTCTCGACCAATAAGGAAGCCGGAAAAGGCGTCATTACATGGCGCCCGGCTTCCTAATTGGGCTGAAAGCCGGCTCCATGCTTCCTCATCACGTGGTGATGAGGGAGCATGGAGGCGGCTCCCCTGCTAATCGGGAACCCAGGTGGCCAGTCGTTACACGCTGCCTGGCTTCCTTAATGGGACGTCCAATATCGGTATTCGGTATCGGCGGGTACCCAAAAAAAACAAAATATCGGAACTCGATACCAAAAAAAAAGTATCGGTGCATCCCTAATTCTTTGTTTTGCATAGGGTTGAGAAGAGTTAAAACCTTCCTCGGGTTTTTAATACAGTCTGTGTCTCCATTGTCAGAGGGAGCAGAAGTGATGGGAAATGTCTCCAATGAGGACATGGACAGCAACAAAAGTGGGGAAGTCAAGTTTTTATTGCTGTCCGTGCCATCTTGTCCCGGTGACCCCATTCCCCTTTTTCTGGTCCCGGAAACACGGGTGTCACTAGGACAGACAATAAGGGGAAATCTCCCCAAAGTATTCACAGAAGACAATAAAATCCTAACCTTTCCTCGTCATATTTGAAACAAAACAAAAAAAATATTCTGGCTGGAATTCGACTTTAAGAATAATGAATTGCTTGAATTGTGATCCAAATTGCAGCAAACTTCCTCTTCTCAATCTCTGATACATAAAATCCATGACAGTGACATATTATTGAAGAAGTGCATTTATTTTTCTCTTGCTTTTCTGATCTTTTAGGAACATCGGTTTCAATAAAAATGACCTCCACGCCCATAAAGGTCTTTTTTTTTTTTTTGCATTGTTACTTATAAGTTTTCCTCTCTTGTAGGTAAACTCCAAAGATGGATACCAACGCACTGCTCTCCATTACGCAGCAGAGAAGGATGAAACGTGTGTGGAGATTCTGCTGGAGTACGGCGCCAACCCCAATGCACCGGACGGCAATCAGGACACGCCCTTACACTGGGCCGCCTTCAAAAACATGGACAGCTGCGTGCTGGTGCTGCTGGAGGGCGGAGCCAAGGCGAACGCCTTAGACTATAATCAGGACACGCCTCTGAGCTGGGCCGTCATGAAAGGCAATCTGGAGAGCGTTCGATTGCTCTTAGCCTACGGAGCACTGCCTGACACCACCAACCTCAAGGGGCTGTACCCTGCCGGGAGGCTTGCGGCCCTGATGGGCAGAGGTCTGGGAGGCGAGAGGGAGGAGCAATGTCTGGAACTGCTGCACAGAGCTTGTGGGAACCTCCGGATGAGAAGGGAGGGAGGTGTGCCCCTTGAAGCGGCACGACATGCCCAACTGGGCCAACGCCTTCTCAAGCTGTGCTCAGAACCCGGCTCTTTGAAAGCTCTAGCAAGAAGAGTGGTTAGGTGTAGTCTCGGGGAATGCCTGCTCGCCAATGTAGTGACTGAGCTGCCTGTTCCTAAATCCATTCAGGACTATCTTTTGCTTATAGAGTGAATTAAAGAGAACCAGTCTTTGACTGGGCTTATGCACTTATCTTATATTATAGCTGTACAGGTTTGCTTATGTAAGATGTGTATTTGCCGCCTTCTTATGCTTTGTATACTATGTCCAGTGCCTGGGTGTCTCCTGAAGATGGGAGAAATCCCTGTAGAAGTCTATAGGTTCTACTGTGCATGCACAAGAAGAGGACCAGCTGCATGGAAGTAAATGCGTGACTGGACAGGGTACCAGACCTAGTTAAGTATGCAGCTGAGAAAGGGGAAGATTTATATTTGCTCAAGGGGAGTTGGCATAAAGGGGATGGAAACCTCCAGCAAAATGTATCGAAAGGGTTTCTTAGTCTTTAATGTCACTTTCCCCATTTACTCCAATTAATTTCACTAAAATGCTAAAATAATCTTATTTCCCATATACAGTATATACTGTACGTTTCTCTAATGTCTATGCATCAGCACCAGGTTACCATGCCAAATAGATCTGGCTGGGAAAAGAATGTGCGTGTTTTAACTGTGGAACAATAGAATACAGCAATAAAGTGACACTAAACTCAGGAGTTAAAGGATAATTAAACCCACTGGGTACGTTGCATATCTCGACTGCTAGCAAGCATTTGATATATGCAAAAACAAAAAAAAGTTACGAAAAAAGGCTTAGATTTACCTGTGTCTTTGCCGCGCGCTCCCGTCCGAAGATCTGAAAAATGTCGGGCAGCCGCAAAGGACCATGGGACGGGCGCATGCGCAGTACAGATCTTCGGCTGGGAGATGAGGAGAGACACAAGGTAAGTCAATGGAGGCAGCGTGTACCCGCGCAGACTCTGGGACAGGAAGTGCCAAGAAGAGAGAGGAGTCAGTGCTGGATCGGAGACCGGCACCAGCGCTGGAGGGACTCCTGAGAACTACAGGAAAAAAGAAGATGGTAGGATCAAGAGGCATCATTTAAGGTAAGTCCTTACACTAGTATTGGGGAAAGGGGGGGGGGGGGGGCAGATATCCTTTTAATGTCACTTTAAATCTTAAAAGTACTTGAACTATTAACAAAAATGTATCTTATTTGTGTATCACTCGGCTGTAGATCCTCAAATCATCGCTGAAGTGGTGCTGACACTGTCCTTCCTTCTGGAGGGTGACTACTTCTGTGCCCCGTGGCTCCTGTGATGGACTACAATCTCATGTTTAGTTTACTCATTTGTATTGAGATTGTAGTCCATCACAGGAGCCACGGGGCACAGAAGTAGTCACCCTCCAGAAGGAAGGACAGTGTCAGCACCACTTCAGAGATGATTTGAGGATCTACAGCCTAGTGATACACAAATAAGATATATTTATGTTGATAGTTAAGGTAGTTGAATGTATTTTTAAGATTTAACTTCTGAGTTTATTGTCACTTTAACAATACTCCCTAAAGCAAGGCTAGGCAAACTTCAGCCCTCCAGCTGTGGTGAAACTACAAGTCTGACGAGGCATTGCAAGACCCTGACAGCCACAGGCATGACTCCCAGAGGTAGAAGCATTATGGGATTAATAGTTTCTTAACAGCTGGAGGGTCAGTGCTTGCCTACCCCTGCTTTGAGTATCATTATTGTCTTCTCACAAACTTACCCAGAACTTCATCATCCTCAGAGTGTACCGTACACCAGATTAATTGTTTCAGTGGGGCAGCTGAGACCCGACTGCCCCAAATGTAGACTAGGTCCAGGCAATCTACTGTACATGTTATGGAAAAGCCCTAAACTAATCCAGTATTATAGGGAGGTTGTGTATAGAGTCAATATGAGGAACGTTACCAGCTGGACACCATGACCCCTACAATCAGATTGCTCTTTTCGGAGAAGAAAGTCGTTGCACAACAATGGCTCATTAAACCCACCAACATTTTCCTTATGAAGAGTTAATACAACACTAACCAGGGAAAAGGTGGAATATCACCGCAAGGGGTCGTCCTAAAAAATGTTCTACATGGCCGGTTGGCCTCTTCAGATACGGCCCCACCATCCTGTCTTTACCGAGGATGCTGCAGTGAAACACTCTGTATGAACATTGATAAGTGGAGTCTCATACATTGATGGTTGGAAATGATCTTTTCATTAGTACACCAGATATCCCATCCCTCGGTTCAATACACTTCTGTTACCCTTCTTTACACTCTTACTATATCCCACAATGTCAATCTTATATTCCTGAAGTCATAGAGAATCCAAGTTGATGGTGTCAATACCCCACGCTGAATTATACCTGCTGTTATATTTCTGCCACTCATTTTTTTCCTACCCATTGTGGAACTTGGGAGCTAACGGTGTCAATTCTCTTTGCTTGTTATCTTGAGTTAGAACTGCAGGAATTGGAAAAATTAACTCTTTCAGTGGGGGTACCCCTGTACGGCAAGGGTTAACTGCTCGCTTTTTTTTTCTAGGGGCGATAATAATAATAAAGAGAGAGTCACTCGATCCTGTGTGTGGCAGTGACCCCCTTGCCTCTCTCTGCATCCTCACATCTAATGCACTGTATTGAGGTGCCCGTACACTGGCCAAATTTCTGCCGGGTTTAATGTACCAGCCGAAATTCGCAGTGTGTGGGGGCTGTGGGCTCCCTTTCAGCCGGAAAGAGCCTGCTGGGAAATCTTTGTCCGATCAGAGACAGCAGCCAATGAGCTACCCGCTCTGATTGGGTATTCTGACAGCTGCCGGCGGCGCTTGTCAGAATACAATGCAAACAGCGGCGATTCCTTGATCGCCTTGCTGTTTGTGTTTAATGGAGGAATCACGTCAATTTCTTCCATTCAGCCCGCAGGTTGAACAAAAGAAATTGATAGAAGTATGGCCAGCTTTAGACGTGATGATGTCACGGGTCCTTAGATCACCGGAACCCAGGAGAGAAGAAGCTGTGGGACCGGTCTAGCAGTCAGGTGGGACCGAGGATCAGGTGACTATTTCTACATTATTTTCACCACTAAGTAAAATGAGCAGATAACCCTTCGCAGTCCGGGGGTAGCCTCACTGCAAGGGTTAACTTTTTCCATTCCTGGAGTTCCGCTTTAACATGTCCCGCTGTAAGGGGGTGATTTGTGGGTTTACATTGGTTGTTAAATATCTGTATGTTAAATAAACTTTAACACTTTCAATAAAAGAAATATGTGATCCAAACAATATTGCAATTTTACCAAAATCTCCCAATTGTTGCTAAAATGTTGGGGAATTAAACCTTTTAAATTCACTCATCGCTACTTGCGAATTGTCTCTAAACTGCTGACTTTAAAGGGTATCTTTGGTCAACTATATAAATCTGTATTTCCATATTGACTTTCCATAACTTCTCCCACTCCTAATATCCATCAACAAGTGTGTAAACTTACTGACGGAAGATGGCCCTAGGAAGGACTTCCTCAATGCACTGACAGTATTTCACTCATCCCTCTGAATATGCACTTCCTGGTGTCGTCGCTTTTACAGAACCTGCCGTCTAAACAATGTTACATCACCATTGCTTGCTGGAAGCAATGCATGATGGGATATGTAGTCTTGAGAATTGGAGATTACATCACATAGAGCAGCAGGGAAAGAGATGCAAAGCACACTGGGAATCCAGGGAGTTGTTGGAAGTGATGGGCAGACGGAAGGCAGCGCTCACTACATAAAAGGGATTTTTCAATGTAAGCTTTGATTGTATTATCAGAAACAACTCTACAGGGGAGAGTTATACAGGGGAGGATACGCTGGGACTTTACAACTCTTTTAACATTATTAGCCAACAGGGTGTTGTAGCTGTCTGCTTTCCTCCTAAATGAGATTGTGTTCCCAGCCCCAGCATCAGCCACCTGATTAGGCAGCCGAGGCTGCCTGATTTTGTGCGTCCGTCGATGGCTTTCCTCTTTGCAGGGTGGGCTGAAAAATGCTGCCCCCCTGCAAAGTGTCGCTCCAGGCAAACGCCTTGTTTGCCTCGCAGTAAATACCCGCTTCTCTGTATGTGTGCCTTGTGTGTAAGCTCAGGTTCCTTTTTCTTTATTTTCAGCTGGTAACGATGCAAATAACATATGTCTTGTGTCTACACTCACTCTTCCACTGTATCTATGAAGGGAGCCATGGTTGTCATCCAGGCTGAACTAACTTCAAACATGTCTGCCTTCCTATTTACATGGTAGTTAATGGGATAATTAGTTTACATAGGAGAAATGACATTGTTTATGCTGTCTTTATCACCAGGAAGTGACAAGGACACTGCATCTCTGTCAAGGTCAGCAGGTTTTTTCTATACTTGATGAAAATGTTCTGAAAAAAGAAAACTGATGCATCTAAGGACTGGTAAGCTGCTGTTTATGACATTTTTGGGTTTAGATACACTTTAAGCCAGGGGTGGGTAACTCCGGCCCTCCAGTTGTGCTTTATCTACAAGCCCTCATTCACACTAGGAACGGCTGGCACGTACAGCTCCGTGCTGCGTGCACGGTCGTATCGGGCAGCTCCTGGGAAGGACAGGTGCTGCGTGTGATTAGTATGCAGCCCCTGTCCTTCTCTAGGGGACTACACGGCCGCACGCCGCCCTACGCTCACCCGCCCTGCACGACGTGCGAACGTACTTGTAGCGTACAGTCGTATGCTGACAGGATGGATCCTCCCTGCGTCTGAGCCAGGAAACAGTTAAAGTGGCACTCCAGGATCTACAAAAGTTAACCCTTGCAGTGTTGGGGTAGCCCCACTGTAAGGGTTAACTTTATTAAATGTATTAACTAATAAATTAGTTAATATTTATTAGTTAATGAATATTATCCTCCACTTAGCCTTCAGTATAAACCGCAGTGATGATGATGGGATAAACTGCCGTAACCGCCAGCACCAGTGAAACCATTTGCAGAAGTCAGATGTGGAAAGGCTGAATTGCAGTTGCTTGCTGTCAGTAGTTACAGGCATGTCCCCTATAGGATGGTAGATGAAGGCAGCTGTATGGGCAGTGGCTCAGAAGCATTGAAGGAGAGTAAATCCAGTCGTACGGCCTGTGGAC